TTTTTTAAATTATAAAGTGGTGCCGCTATTTCTGAAAATTTTGGAATATACCGCGCAAAAAATCCACATAACCCTACAAACGCTAAAACTTGTTTTAATGTCGTCGGGGTTTCTAACTTTTGTACAGTAGATATTCTCTCTGGATCTATTTTTATAGAATTGTATGATAATTGATGGCCCAAGAACGATACTGATGTTTGCATTATTTTCATCTTTTCAGGGTTTACAGTTAATCCATTATTTTGCAATATTTGCATGACTTGTTCTATATGTTGTTTATGCTGTTGTTGATCTTTTGAATATATAATGATATCATCAAGAAAATTCCATACAAATTTATATTTTATATGGGCTAAAATTTTTTCTAAATATTGTGTAAGGGTTTGTGCTCCTAAACTTATACCAAATGGTATTCTGTTATATTCATAATGTCCATACGGAGTTTTAAATGCTGTGTTACATCTAGATTGCTTTACTAATGGTATATGTTGGAAAGCGTTTGATAAATCTATAATCGTAAAGTATCTAGCGCCTCTAATATGGCAGAATATGTGTTCTATGCTGGGTAATGGCCATGCTGTAAATTTAATTTTTTCGTTAATTTTTATAATTATCTTATCTTAATTTATCTTTTATTTTCTGGATTGGATTTTTTTGGAATTAGAAAACAAGGTGATGCCCAAGTTGAATAACTTTCTTGGATTATTTTTTGATCTAACAACTCGTCCGTAATTTCTTTCATTTTTTTTTTTTTTTAGTTCAATGGATTCAACGGATATGGACGTTGTTGTTAAACGGGCCATATTGTTAAACGTAACAAATATTTTTAAACTAAAATTTCTGGCACATCCAATTTTTGTTTTTAATACGTTAGGGAATTTCTTAACTAGATATGATATGATCCTTAAGATATGATCTGAGGGCTTCGGTATTAACGTTGTTTACTATTTGTAGAGATTAGTGACCGTTAATCTATAGTTATTCAGATATCCCGACCGCATCTCACGATATCTGAATAACTGTTGTTTACTATTTTGAAATCTTTGTTCTCACTTTCGGCAGACGCAATTTCTAGTTCATGGTTGTTATAATTTAAGTCATATGATTTTAAAGGGTTACTTGCAAAAGATAATTTATTATTATGGGCATCTAATATAATAGCTGTTTTTTTAAAAAAAAGGATAACCTAATAATATTTCCATTGGCATATTGTTTATTACGTAACATTCAACTGGCCATGTAAGGTTTTGAAATTTAATTTTTAATAGAATTTTAGTTTTTAATTTGACACTATCTCCATTAACTGATGTTACATTAGTATTGTTAAATTGCAATTTTTTAAAAGTGTTCTTTTTTAATTTTTGGAATAAGTTATCAGATATAGCATTAATTGTACTTCCTGCGTCTATTAATGCATTGATTATAGAATTATTAATATTGAGTTTTATTTTTGGCAAGGTTATATTTTGTAATTTTGTGCATTTTGGGAGAAGTGTCATTCCAATTAGTTTTTTTATGTATATTTTTGTTCAGAAACTGCATGGGCTTGATCTACTATTTCTTTAAATTTTTTAAAATTATTAATATGCTTAGTCAAAATTGAAAAGGCTTTGTTGTCATAATTGTCTTGAAATTTAACTTTTTTTTGCTAGGTAATCTATGTTTTTTTTTTGTTGAATAGTTTTTTGAACGGTTTCCATAAGAAGTATTTTTAGGTGTATAATTACTGTAATTCGGATTTGTGTTATAATTAGCGCTTATAAAACGATTGTTTTGTTGCCTGTTACGATAATTCACCGTTCTGTCGGTTATTGTTTTGGCGATTAAAATTTTGACCGTTAAATCTATTGTTAGGGTAATTGTTGTGAACTCTGGGCCTCGATTGAAAGGTTCTATTAAAATTTTGTATGTTAAAGTTTCTATTATTGAATGTTTGCCTGTGAAATCTTGCTGGTAGCTCATTATAATCGTAATTGTAGTTGACTTCTGTAGGTAATAATTTCGTTTTAATTACATCTGCATATGTGGGTTTATAATTAAAATTGGGGATGTTATTCTCACCATAACCGTATGTTTCGTTCAAAATTATTTCTATGTTTTTTATTTTTTTAAATAAATCTGTGTAGTTATTTATTGAACACATTAGTTCCTAATAAAACTAAATATTTGGGATGTACAGCATTTAATATATATCGTACATTTTCTTGCTCATTTTTTAGATTGAATAATTTTATTAAAGTCATTTGATTTTCAATGTTTTCTCGTAAATTAATATTTTCTGGTTGAGGTCGGAATAACATGCTTGTTTTAACCTGCATATATTGTTTCTCAGACAATCCATTTTGTAATAGTGAAGAGGCAAATATGTGAAAAGTTATTTTTGGAAATATTAGGGCATTGTACATGAAATTAGCCAATAATTTGTTATTTTCTCTCTCTAATAGTATGGATAATATTGATTTAAATTGCGTTTTATTTCTTCTTGCAATAGGTTCGAGTTTTAATAAAAAATTTATTATTGATTGTGGGTTGTACAAATGAAAATAAGGAAGGTGTTGTAATTTATGTTCTAGTGTGTATGAGATGAACTTTGATTTTTTATGGCATTTCGACTTATTTTTAAAATCTATGGATTCATTATGCGAACTTGAATCTGTGGAAACCTGTTGTGAACCTGATTCTTCATGATCTAATAAGCTAAAATCAGGACATGTATTCTGTGTATATGTTAGAAATGTGGACCCTATTATATGTGAATCAGAAATGTTCTCAGTCTTTGGTGGAACATTCTCTTTGGTATCAATATTTGCGTCTGTGTCTTTGTCGGTTTCACCTACTTCTTTATTACCTTTCATACTAAATTCTTGTTTGATATCCGAAATCAATTCTTTCATTATATCATTATCCTGTGTTCTTTGCAATTTATTTAATATAACTTCTATCAAATTATCTATAATTTTTTGCGTCCATTTTTCTTTTTCTTCTTGTATAATTTTTGTTTGCGACCGAGTATTTATCGGTGATCTTTGTGTGGAACTTTTTTTATTTTTTCCCATTGTTACTTAATTACTTTCTAATCAGTAGTAAATCGTAACACTCTGACTAATTGAATTGTCAGACGCTCTGCTACCGATTTTTGTAGTGTTAGGGTAAATTAAATTCCACTATAAACCTATTTATTAAACAATTCTTTCTATTATTAAAAAATAAAAAGAACATAAACAAATACTTTCCTATAATAAAGAAATAAACAAGTACTTTCCTACTTATAAAGTCCAATATATTTAATTATTTAAAAAAATTCAATCTGTTTATATACAAATTAAAATAATAAAAATATAAACTAATTCTCCTATGGCCAAAACTACGAGCTCATATAATTTTTTGAAAAAATATAAATCGTACATACGATATAAAAAAATAAATTACACACTTCTTGTTTTCTGGTTTGCGCAGACTCTTGCAGGTCACTTCTTTCGTCCTTTCCGTTTCTCGCTCGAAACCCGACTCCCACACCATTCCTCATAGAGCCTCTTCGTTTTCCAATTGTCTCGCATTGAACGATGGGATATTCTAGCAGTAGGGGTTTGGCGACAATTTGAATGTTCGCCGCCATAANATTTTAATACTATTAAGGTATTATTCTATTTTTTTATCTTTTATATTTAATCACTAATTTATAATTAATTTCTTACAGTATTTACCATTATAATATTTACTTGTGTTATAATTCCCGCTTTTCGCACGTTCAAATTGAGCGCCATTAAAAAACTAGCTTCTCATTGGAACATCGCGTTGGCGGGGATATCGGCGGGTTCACGTTTCCAAGCTAAGGGCTCGAAATGCGGATCGTTATAAAACAACTTGCTGTGATTAGGAACTATCTTTTTTTTTAAAAAGGATTGCACACCGAACTCACTCCATCATTCATCAACACAACAACAAATCAAATGTCATCAATGAATATTTGTTTAAAATTATGTTACGATATGCTTTTTGGAGAAATGTTTGTTTAATAATAATTGTTTATTATTTTTAATGTGGGTATTTCAACTACGAGGTTTAATGAACCTCGGGTTGCCGGTGTTTTTGAAAAAGCACTGTGGAAATCGTTCACTAGTTTCACCAAATCAGAGGAAGGCAGTTTGATTTTGCCTCTCAATTCGGAACTTAGATTTTGTTTTGTACTCACGATATACGACAAAACACCCTTCACATTTTTCACGAGATCGTCAGTCGGCACACAATATGACAACTTAAATATGACTGTGTCCTAGCAGCCCTGAATGAGGGATTGCAGATAGTAATAAATAAATCTCTTGGCTTATCTTGTCTTTATTATGTTTTATTATTTCAACGTTTTACCAGCAACCGCGTAGTTATATCAAACGAAATTAAAAACAAAGAAGAGGAAAACAATATGTTTAGTTGAAGATTATAACTCCTAGCAGCACTGAAGATTTATAGAGAAGTAATAAACAAAACTCATGGCTGATCTTAGCAATTTTAAGTTTTTGTGAGTTCAATATTTGACTACCACCCTAAATATTGAAATAAATGAAACACAAAGTAAGAGAAGAAAAAATATGTAATTTTTAACGGTTTTTTTCGAGAAAAAATTGAGTTGCCATCAATAAACAAATTTTCACACTTACGACAGACAAAACCTGTAAAAAAGTAATATATAAGGCTGATCATGTCGGGTTTATGTTTTTTATGATTTGAACATTTTACCACCAACCCCGTATCAACTAGCGGTTATGATGGAAGGAACTGTATGTAAAAAAAAGTTTTAAGTGGGTTTGCGAAAAAAAATTTATTACAGATACTCTATGCCTTCATTGAATTATTTTTATTCCGTTTAGTAAACTTTTTTTTATTTTGTCTCCTAGCTCAGTTTTGTATCGCGGATGTACGGCGTTTTATCTCATTTAGCACGTTTCAGTTTTATCTCGCTTGGGTCTAGTCAGATTTTAATTAGTTTTTTCTTTCTTTTACAGCTTGGACGGCCGGGGAAAAGGTGCCGAGATGGGATCCCACTGGAAAGATAAAGACGTGCTTGAAGAGAGGGCCTATTTCAGAACCGTGACTGAACCTGCGACTCTCTCCATAGACAATGTACAGGAAACGGACGAAGCTATTTACAAGTGTCGAGTCGATTTCAAGACCTCACCTACGAGAAATTACAAGCTCAACTTAACCGTTATCGGTAAGTCTATGTAAATTGAATCACACGCGTATTATTTCCATTCATAGATTATCCGGTTCATATCGGAGATTGGAGTTTATCGAACGGCACCGAAGTGGCTACAGTTTATCGGCCGATTAAAAATGCACTAGTGGATAGACATGCAAATGAGGGTATTACTCACCACAATAGTCGCTCTAAGATAAATGTGATGGCATTTTTATAGCACCACTCTCAATTCATTTCGATTCCTTTAATAAGAATAAATCGATAATATTAGTGACACTTCGTTTTCACACATAGCAGGTTGATCCTATGAGTGAAATTCCTGACAACTATGAAAAAAATGATGTATATACAGGCTGTCATCATGCTAGTGCACCTCTAAATTGTGTTAAAAACTACGCAACCTTGAACTAAAAATTATTTGTTTAGCATAACCTTTTTTTTCAGAGTTACACAAATTCAAGTTTTCATTAAAGCCCTATATTTTTCTTAAATGGTGGCCAATATTTTCATTTGCAAGTTAGTCAATTTCATTCGATTTTATATTTTTAAAAACTATTGAAAACCATTTAAATATTGGTACAGAAAACTCTTAGATATTTCAAAAATGACAGTATAAAATTATTTATTATTATTATTAATTTTTAATGGCGTTTAACCCCTAAGGTCATTTCACGCCCTAACATTTAAACCTTCTACCTATTAGGCATTAGGTAACTAGGTTACCTTCTGAGTGGAATAAAGCTATGACTACAAAAGATTAACTCATAAATTAATTTATCCTATTGCCATTTCAAAGCATTAATTTATCCTTTTATAATTCTTAATTCGGAAGGCCAAATGTATGCAAAAAACCATTTTAATTTATAAAATGTATTCCTATTCTTTAATTAGAATTTCAAATTTTTGATGCTGATGACGATGATTTTTTATAGGCTTGTATGGCTAATAATAATATTTAATTAAAGAATGGAGTCAGACTAGCAACAGTCTCAGCATGAGTATAGGCTCATCGTTATCTTTTATTCTTCCATACAAATATGATAAATAAACTAATGCTGCTTAAAAATAATAAGAAACAAAAACACAACAACACTTCTTTTTCTTCATCCTCTTTTTTCGGAGGGAGCTATCTTTCTTATTTAAATTGCGATTTTGGGCAATTATTAATTAATTAAAATTAAAATGATACCTTAATAATAGATTAGGAAGTGTTTTTTTTTTTTTTTTTTTTTTTTTTTTTTTTTTTTTTTTTCCGGCTAACTGGTCATCGCCGGCGCCTCACATATAAACCTTCTCGCATTTTCTTCTTATCTATTATGTGTATATTCTTTTCTGAGTCTTCTTATGCCTCAACTAAATAACTGTTGCCTTCCGATTCACCTAATTCACCTAAAAGGGGATTCGTTATCTTGTTTGTTGTTACCCTCCCACACGTGATAAATTAAAATACATATATCTAATATTTACACATTTTCATAATTCACATTCATACTAATTTACTAACCTATACTACAACTAAATTGGAGGTCGGAAGATTATCGTATTTCAACGCCTAAACTGTTGCGGCCACCGACGCCCCCAATTTAATTTTTAAAAGCAGTAGTGAATATACCTGTCAACATTTAAATGGTGGTTTCTTAATTCAGGCAGTTGGGTGAGTGAGCAAAGCTGATTCTGCTCCCTTTCCTTGGGACGGGATTTGCCATTGATTTTGAGTTTGCGTTTTTAACTATCAGTCCATCAGTAATACATCATCGGATTAATTATATTTAAAACGTAAACAAACATACACGAAGGCTGTTTAAAACTAAATCGTTCTGGCCGTTCGGGAATGAATTACACCCTTGTATATATAAATTTACTCAGATTGTGTAAAGCACGGTATGGCACACCAGTGCAACATGTAATCGGGGTCTTAGTATCGTAAGTGAATTCTCCTGGCTCATTCTCTCAAATTATAGGAGCCAATGCATATCTCTGAAGACAGAATGAAAAACTGCTAAATTATGTAAATTCCCTATAACACGCTACCATTATTTATCCTTTGGGCGAATTTATTGGACCATAGTACAATAAATTGTGCTTAAATATTATTTATCTACAAGGTGAGAGCTAGCTGGGAAATTAAGGGCCAAATTAATATAATAGATTGTTATCTGTGAAAAGCCATCAAATAAGTTAATTTGATTGAGAGCTTGAAATAGTTCTAGACTAATTATGCGTGGCAAAACTTTTCATTAGTTCCAAATATGTGCAATATAAACAATTTTGAAGATACGTTTAAACGCAAATTAAATTTTCACTTATACTTCAGTGAACTCCACGTCTGAAGAACGTATAAAGCAAATCAAAACAATGTAACTTCCACAGACTCATTACTCAGTTTATTTTAATTTTTTAAGAATAAAAGTTAATACACCAATACTATTTTTTAGTGTTTTTTGTACAAAAATCCATATAATTGGCATTATGATGTGTAATAGTAATAACGAGGCAAGAATCAGACGGTGGGAGGAGCCGGGCATTTCTGTCATTCTCAGCATTTAGGACGGTTGTTAAGGATTATTTTAAGAGCGCACAGGCGACGTGGAGAAAAATTACGTTAAGATAGGTTTGGTAGCGGATTGGAGTGAAGATCTGTAATCTCGTTCGGATAAGGCTAATCACGAATGGGACGACTTTGTTTTTATTGAAGAGAGCGTTCATACCATACTTCTGAGGACTAAGGATTGAAAGGATTGGATCCTTTGGGTGTTGGTAAGCCAATCCTAGTTCCAAAGCTCGTCTCTATAAGTCCAAATTGCGCTAACAATTTTATTCCGCATTTAGGATCAAGTTGACATCTGAGCTGTCCCGTATCTTTGTTAAGTTCGATTCTTTTAGCTGTAGTGTGTGAGCTACATAAAACCGGCAGTAGTGGGCACTTATTTGTCTTCTATGTGTGAAATTCAGTTATAATGTGCACTTAATGAATCAGTCTGTATAGTACGAAACTATGAAGACATCTAGGACCTAAATCAGCCATACATCGACCTATTTACGCATAATGAGTAACCATGCATTCCAGTCAAAAGTATTCACAAGTTCATATCTACAACGACCATATGATTCGTTTTTCACAATTTCACCCCATCCTTACCCCATTGCTCAAGCCTTCTACACCACCTTCAATACCAACAATCTCTCCATGGGCTCTGAAATCTGTTCAACTCTTTAACAATCAACAGATGAGTGTCAACGTTGGCTGGCATTTCATAACACTAATCCACCGTGTGCAATGTTCGTGCTAGGAAAATTGGACATTGGATTTGCGTCGGGTGGTTTCGGGTCACGTCGGGTAGCGGTGGTCGGGTGTGTTCCCCGCTTACTTAAAGTTATCCAGCTATTGTCCAGAAAGCACTTAGCATGGGTTTTATTTAATATTGTTTATTTACTCGGTTTTTGGGGGTCGTCGGTAGCTCCAACGTTTAAGGCGTTGACACGGGGCTCATCGCCTTAAGGTAAAGATCCCTGGTTTGAATTCAGGGAAATTTAGATTTTTTTCTTCACAAACACCAGCTCCCCGGGACTTTATAGAGCCCTCTGCTCTGGCAAAACCGATTTTTGGTCAAATTATATGATAAATAATGTTTTTATTACAGCATTAAAAATTGCAGTGATAACGTAAGGAAAAAGACGAGGAATTTAAGAATACTTTTGGAGGACATTATAAATATATACTCCAAATGTACGTCTACTGGCTAATTCTTTGCATAATGCCATCTTATTTGATTTACATTTTAAAAATATAAAATTATGCAATTTTTCATTGTAAATACAATATTAATCCGGGGGCCGCATTGAAAACGGTGACGGGTCGTACCTGGGGAAATTATTTGTACATTCATGAGAAAGGTACAAATGAATATTTGTTTAAAATTATGTTACGATATGCTTTTTGGAGAAATGTTTGTTTAATAATAATTGTTTATTATTTTTAATGAGGGTATTTCAACTACGAGGTTTTATGAACCTCGGGTTGCCGGTGTTTTTGAAAAACAGTGTGGAACTCGTTCACTAGTTTCACCAAATCAGAGGAAGGCAGTTTGATTTTGCCTCTTACTTCGGAACTTATATTTTGTTTTGTACTCACGATATACGACAAAACTCCCTTCACATTTTTCACGAGATCGTCAGTCGGCACCATTTTTTAAACGAGGGTTCGAACAGCAGAGGTCATATCAACTCTCGGGGTGTTGTTGGTCTTGAAAAAAAAGTCCATTTGTAACTATGTCCGGTTCGAATGCACGGCCGCTAGATTTGAACCCAGGACCTTTACCTTACAATGCTGAGCGCTGTGTCAATGCCGAAACCGTTGGGGCCGCCTACGCCCCGGGTTTTTGTTCTTTTAAAAAAGAAGGTTTGAAAGTAAGAAAAGTTAATTTGAAGTTAAAAATAGTTAATTTGAATGCAAAAAATGCTAATTTATTATTTGACGGAAGAAAGCTATAATCGGAGATTTCTAAAACAATAAAAAATTGTGCTCTTGAAAACCACATTTCTTTATAAAAGCAATTATTCTTTATATTTAAAAAAAATCTAAAATATAAATGAATTTTACTATACATGTTCATATTTCATACTTCATCTTCCAACGTTTTCAATGCTTTATTGAATGGCTTAACTTCAAATTATAAACTTACGATTTAAGGGTTAAAAAGGGTTAATCTGACGGAAAAAGCTAATGTTCGAAAATAGAGCTCTTCCTTAAAAATATAAGCAAAATAAATAAATTTCTTAAGCATGTTAAAAAAGTAACATTTACATACAGTGACCTACGTTTCAATTTGCAAATTCATCTGATTCAGAAAAACGTTAAATATTTTAAAAATAATATGTTAAATAATTGAATATTAATTCTTGCTAAGTTCTAAAGAGAACTATAGGTTGAGTAGTTTTTTAAAAAACTAAAGTGACACAGTATGATGTCATTCTGTTCAAAAATGCTCAATGCATTTGTAAAATATCACAGA